CTGCACAAACAGCCTACACAAAATAAAGACAGACTGCACAAACAGCCTGCATAAAATAAAGTTATAATGGATTATTTGAAGGAAGCATGTATTTAATACTACTAAAGCTATGATTATGAGCGAATGATATGGCAGAATGGGAGTACGTTCTAACCCATAGAATATAAAGAATAGAATAAATTGGACGAATGAACGCAACATCTTCATTTTCTGTTTTACTGGCCTACCACTGCGCATTTACTGGTCTACAGTCACAAAAATCCATTGGCCATAATTAAGGATGCTCATTATGGCCTACGAAATTTTTAGCGGCTGTAGGCCAGTAAATGCGCAGTGGTTGGCCAGTAAAAAATTAATAGAAATTTCACAGCCAAAAATTTCCTATAGTGGTATCGAGCCTTCATGCTTCCGACCAAACATGCTGCTAATCCAGGGTTTATTTTCTCCCATTCTTCTCTCAACACGACACTCAACTTTTCAATATTTCTTATCTCACTTCTTCTTTCCTTGACAAGATTACCTAAAGCGGCCCAAACATGCTCTATCGGATTCAAATCAGGGCTTTGTGTGGGCCAGTACTCAGCGCCCCTGGTCTGGTGGGCTTCCTTCCATCATTGAACATAGCCACCAATTGTGGCAGTTAGATCCATCCTCTTGGAATATAAAATTTCTATCCTCTTTCTAGCAGAGTTGTGCGATCCAAGGTGAAAGCTTTGGGCTAAAACATTTATATATTTGTCTTGATCAACTGTGCCGTTAACCAAGACCAAAGGATCAGAACCATTGGCATGAAAGCAGCTTCAAATCATCACCCCACCGCCTCCATGTTTCTTCGTTGGCACAATATGCTTAGCATCATCTCGTTTAACAAATTTTTTGGTGACTCTGGCACCATCATCGTTACCGGTAACGGTGAACCGAGATTTATCACTCCAAATGACGAGACCGAATTATGTGTCCCTCGTGCCTGTACGTTGTTTTTAAAAAAAAAAAGGACAAGAACGTATACAAGCAATTCTTTTAATGAAGTGAGTATGTTTTCTAGTTTAATTGAGCTGTAGTAATGAATTGATTCTGTCGAGTGAATACGCTTTTGAAAACATGCGTTCTAGAACTGTTTTCGAAA